CACACACACAGAGAGACACGCATGGGCGAATTACTATACCCTTTCCAACGGAAGCGGACAGGAGGCCTTTTGAAGATGATGGCAATGATTGTTGGAAGGGAAATTCGCAAACCGGAGGGAAGAAATCCCCGAAGAGACCTTCATGGGTGGAATTTGCTCGCTTGCTCACAAGCTTTGGACTTCCTCTTGGGATTGCAGAGTTCCTGTGCACGTCCCGCGACGGCGGCGGCGGCTGCATGGACTCGCCACAACCAAAACCCGGAATCCGTGTAGGTCATGATGATGTTTTTCCTAGGAATCCACAAGGGTTGTCCAAATGCTCATCTCCTCCCATTACAGGGTGGACCATCCCTAGAAATACCTAGAAAGCTGGTCTTTTGGCCATGGCCCAAACTCACGACCCCGAGCTTAGGGGCCCGCTTCGTCGTGACCCAAACAGGGTCAAGAGTTGATGATTCCCGCGCATCGCACCCTCTTTGGCATCACAAATGAATTCTATTTCCCCCAAGCCACCCGATGGGAAATCGTAGGTACTGTACCTCCTAGTGGCTACATGCGTATCCCATCGAACCCCCGGCGGTAATGGTGATGGTGTCTGCCATGAAAGAAGAGATCTGTGGCAATCATCTACCCGAATGCGGGACACACTCGGCTCTTTCCGAGTCGTTCCCAAACTGTATGTGGGCTCGTGGGGTCCAACTGAGCAGGTTTCAACCATGGGTATATGTGGGTCGGTGGACATACAGTCATACATTGTTATAACCTACTCACAAAGTATATTAGGTTATACAGCAGACATGACTACAACCGACTTCCTAACTCAGGTTGAACATCTGAGTAATCGTAGGAAGCACTCAGGTCAGGTTTGTTTTTGTTCGCCTTTTCGCATGTGCCGCATCGGATGGCAAGTCAAGAAGTCCAGCTGCTTACTCGGGAGGGAGAGCCTCTTGTCTTGCACGTCAGAACGGCCCTGTCGGAACCGCCCCTGCCAGCCAAGGAGAACTCATGCTTCCAGGCATCCAAAACATTCACCAAGCGCAATTGTGGAATTCCTAAGGGACCTTGGTCATGTGCAGAAAAACCATTTGTTTGGTGCCCCAAAGGTGACTTCGCAATCATATGCAATCATGAATGACCATGTGCAGAAGACAAGCTGCTCCGGCCTGGTGTTCCTCTCGTTTCCCCAAAGGGCACCGAGGAATCACGCCCCGCAGGGTAGGCTCCCGCGCCGGTTTCGGGCGCTGCGGTGACGCCGCGTCCTGAGGCTCGGTTTCGCGCACCCAAGGGCTGCGCTTTATTCGGAAGGTCCACGGATCTCTAAAATGGGACAACCCCAGTCAAAAAGTGAAGGTTCCCGCTCCAAAATGGGACACCATGTACCAATCAGAATCAACCCGGATCATACATCTAATAGTAAACCCAGTGGGTCCCAGTTGCCACTATAGAAGGCAACCGGCCATGGTCCTTCTAGCTTCTGAAGGGTGGTTCCGTTGGTTACTATAACAGGAAAACGGAATTGGACAAATTGCCATATGCAAGCCATCACGAGTCGAAAGCTATGTCCAAAGAAAGCTCGAGCTTGTCATTGGCCTCCGACTCTCACCCGGGTGGGCATACCACCAGAAGGCCTTCCCAAAGCAAAGGTCCTTCATGAGGGACAGGTAGCGCTTCTTTGGTTTATGACGGTAATGTGGATCTTCATGTTCTGTCTTTGAATGTATCACGTTTGTTTTCTTTTGTGATTGCTTTGTGGGTTTTAGCATGGGGTGTATTTTGGGAACCGACCTGCTTCCTATCCCTCCCCGTCCCTATGCGTACGCATAAACATGAAAAAACTCAGTCAAGCGGATTGTCCAAAAAGTCCAGGCTGATTGTTTGCCACTAAAATGGTCTTCCCAATAATTAGTATAAAGTCTACGAACTCAGAGCATAAGACATAGAATGACCGCCCCTTTGTGCAATTGTTGGACTCAACTCCTTCTGGGGCTATCTTTTACAGGGAAGCCAAAAGGAAACCATCCAATATTTGGGCCCCCTATCGTAAGACATGCCAACATGGCTTGCATAGTGGACCTTAGATTTGGATGGTTTCAAAGGCAAAGCAACCAACGTCCGGAGAGTTCCCATCCAATTCGTTGCTCGTTGGCTTCGGTCGGAACGTCCTCCACCATTCTGCTTGTGCAGCACTTCTGGTTCTTGGAGCCTGCGTGTCCAAATGACTGGCAAGCAGTTTCAGGCCACAAGAAGAAAGCAAAACGACCCATTGGGAGGAGTTGTGCCGGGGAACGTGAAGAGGATAATAGTTGGAAAAAAAGAGCAATTAGAGGGAACACTACCGGTTAGAGCCTACCCACCTTTGCTAAGGAGGGCGTGAAACTGGGAACTGGCTTCTGGATTGTGCTTGAAGCAAACAAAACTGGAAACCGACGATTTCTTGGATGCCCTATGTCCAATACCTTTTTTTCAGAGAAAGGTTATATAATGGTCCTCAAAGGCCTCCAATAGTCAATATTTGTCACTTATAGGCAACTTATAGGCACTAGTTTGCAATGGCTTCCTTTGCTGTGGCTCTGAATCAAATGTTGGGCGCCTTCCGCGACCAACCGCGAGGTCAAACTGCAACAGACACCGTGCTTTTACCAAAGCCGCGTCCAGAACCCATCGACTTTGGGTTCCTCTAAGATGATTGTAACCCTCGTTCTGGTAAATGGGGGAATCCCACAAATAGACGGTTTGAATCTAGCCTTCCATTCAAACAACCCCTCACCAAGGGTTCTCTCAAGAAACGACACCCCCGTGTGAGTCCATGGTTAAAAAACTCCTTCCACGGTGTATGGTCATGGTTCCCTTGATAAAAATCACTATACAGTTTCTTAAGGTTCCTTGCTACCATGCGGATGACCAGCCCTGTGAACCCCAAGTAAAGGCGCCCCCTGACAATGCGCACAGCCTTCTGTGGCTAAACTTGGGCACCCATTCCCGGAAAGGTGGCTACACCCAACCTTAACAAGGGTGCCCTCGAACAGGAAACACCCATAACCCATACGTTGACGGCGAGGCCCTCAGCCCCCAAAAGGCAGGCTCGCGGAGCGAGCTCTCCTTCGCAGCAGCGCCTGAGGGAACGACTCCCGTCTTCCAGTCAAGTCGGTTAAGGATTGACCCAGTTTTGGGAGACTCCAACTGTGTTCTGACAGATGGGTTCTATGATGCCACTCACATTGTTGTCCTTTGCTTGCAAGTTGGAACCCGTTTGTTACACCACGTTTAGAGTCCCCTCGCAGTTGTCCAAGCAAAGGAGATTCCTCTACAATGATGTCATTGGGGGTTCCACGTTAATCTGCAAGGGAGTATGTTGCAGAATGGGTAGCTCCCTGATGGTGTTCGAAAGTTCAACGGAAAAGCAACGAAGCATGTTTAGCAAACACCCGCCTACTTCACCGTCTTGCCTAGCAGTGTTCAAAATCAGATTCGGGGCGAATCCGCCGAAGGCCTCCGGCCCAAAAGCGATAAGCGGATGAGCACTCAGAACTGGATCGAAAGACTGGGTTTTCTTAACAAAAAACTCGGTGCGGCCCTCTAAATCGGCTGGCTGATTGGTGATTTCTTCAACTGGCCCAATTGTGTCCTAGGGACCCTGACAAAAGTTCTCCAGTCGGGTTCCGTTGGTTGCGCTAAGCCGGTACCGGACTTGTGCCCAGGCGGGGGAACCCTCAGTCCTTGAGAAGCCAGTTGACTAAAGCCCGAGTTGATTTCTCCCTGGTTTTAATCTAAAAAGGGTCCCATGATTTGTTGCTTCCCTTGGCTTGCGATTCAGGAAAAGGTCAGGAGCGTGCTTTCTCAACATGAGGAGGGGCTCTGGCAGAAGATTTTGGGGAGGCTTGTCAAGTCCGATTGTCCACAAAGCCCACTAGGAGACTGCTACAAAGATCAGGCAATCCAACACGCGAATAACAGATTGCCATTGACCAGGCTCTTCCTGGGTTGAACCACTCAAAGATGGCTCTCACGATGCGCCTGAAAGATGCCGGGAGCAGCTGGAGGGACTCGTTGATGAGCCCAGTCTACTCTGGAGCCCAGAAAAAGGCGAATACACCAAGAACATCTAAGGTCCTTCTTACCCGGACAAGGGACATACCCCAAAATCAGTGGCTCTAAATGGATTACACAAACGCCATCCTTGTATGAGGCTTTTCAGTGAGGAATAATAAATTCGGGTATGCAAGTAGGATCTTAGAGCAAAGAACATTCACGCAGCTGCAACGGCGACTGAGAGTGAGCAACTGCAAAGTCCCAAGCAGGTGACAAGAGTCCCCAGCAAGCTTCGGCTCTGAACCACGCACCTCAATTCTCAACCTGTCCATGCAACCTGCCAGCAAAAATGCTTGCTGCCAAGTGCTCAAGTAAGCAATGCACCTGTGCTGGCCGCGGGCCATCCATCAGCCATTCGCCTTCGCATGAGTTCTCTTCAGAACAGGGTTGTGGGGAAAAGGGAGCTGTGTCCCACTTCTGTGATACATGATAAACCACTCTTTAAGTGAATGCCATGGGTGTTTGCGACAATTGGGACCCTAAATGGGTGGTTTTCCTTTTGGTTTCCCCTTAAGCCAAGGCGAAAGAGTGCCCGCAACGGAGAACACACACGCATGACAGAAGTGGTTGCAATGCCCACAGCCCTGTTAGCCGGCCTATGACCGACATCTCCTTTCTGTCTGTCGCGAGCGTCAAAGCAACGCACACACTCCAACTGGCATCCATTTGACTGAATTCTTCAAATTAAGGAACCCCTGTTGAAACCAGAAGGAAATACAAGAAGCCGCTGAAGAATCTCTGCAATAACACGTCATAATTTTACAGCGGGCTCATGGATCCCCAGGAAAGGAGGTTTTTTGGTTTCCCTTTGAACCAACTGACACACATACAAAAGCCTTTGAACAAATCTTCCAGTGCGCGACACAAAAAGCCCATGTACCGAACGTAAATACAATACAAGCTTCGGATCTCTAGGACCTGGAACTGGGTCGACCCCTCGCTCGCGCTTTTGTACGAAGGACAGGTCCAGCGCTTCGTGGGGCCGTGGCGGGCTCAGGCCATACTCGGCCCATGCCGCGGGGTTGTGGAACTTGGTGAGGTGGCGGTTTCCGCTGTCCTGACACATGGCGTGGGGGCAACTTCCCCCCAACAGGGATCCTTCTCAAACCCAAAATCCAGAAAACGGCTGGAAGCAGATGGCATTGCAACCCACGTCGATATCGCACAGGGAGCTGAAGACAATTTAGATTGGCTTCAAAGGGCCAAAAGCCTTGAACCGAAAGAATCGACGAAAAGAGACTCCATACATCACTTAAGGCTTAGATACATTGGCAATGACCAATGCCAGCCAAAGCCCACAGAAAAGACAAACGTCCTCTTCCCCATGCCCCTGCCCCCGACCTTCGCTAAACAACATAGTTCCATTCAGGAATGTGTTTTTTCTGAAGACCTTCCCCTGGTTCGGGCAGAAAAAATTGGCATTTCCTAACTTGGGGAGGAGCCCACAAGTTGGGAGAGTCCAAACAAAAGACTATGTTGATTCCAGCTTCCCCTAACTGGTGGTTCGGATTGGCTTGAAGAGTCCACAGCTGACTGGGGTTCATATCCCCACTTCGCCAATTGAACTCAACTAGGGCAGCCTTCTGGATGATCCAAAGGGAACCAACTGGGCTTCAGGGACCATGTTGTTAGACATCAAATTAATTAGTTATTTTGAGTACCCATCCCTTTTCGCAAGAAGTGATGTGCACGCAGTGCGTCCGTTTCCAGGGCACAAGGACCCGTTGCAGTCCCCCCCTGGAATCACAGAAAGTGGCCCCAAAACCATGTTTCTCGCAAGCATGCTTCCCATCTTCTGCCCGAGCCGCGCACAGCACCGTCGCCACTATGCTGCCCCGGGGCAGTTCTCGAGCCACCTTCCGAGCGTTGAAGGTGGGGTCGGCGCGGATTAAATGAGCCCCTTTTCTTGGTTCAATCCCATGGATATCTGTGATCATCTGTAAATCACGAACATAATGGGAATCGGCTCAAGTTGATTCAGGTACCAAACTTGGGTTCAAATCATTTCCTGAGTGGGTTGGCATTGCTTGTTTCAAAATTGGGGAACCCAAGACATGGCTGGCTCCTTGTGGTTTTTGTCAAAACCGGTACCCTGCATGAAAGCCAAACGAAAGACCGCGAACCCCTAAAACTGGGTGGTTTCCTTTTGGCTTCCCTCTGAAACCAACCAGAAAGGTTGGATAGTTGCGAACTGGACTAGAGGGTACCCAAACCCCCCAACCCTCCCAACCCTCCAAATCAACCCCCCGACCTTCACTGCGGCCACGCAGTTCACCGCCGCGGAGCTGCCCAGGAAGAGGCCCTCGTGGGCCAGCAGGTGCTGCGACATTTGCAGTGCCTCCTGCGAGCGCCGAACCGGAAAATACTATTGAAGCATCAAAAACAAAAAACAAAATCCGCCGACCCCTCCTGCTAGTAGCCTACTCACACCGAGGAGGAGACCGGCGTGGTTTACAAGTATTGACCTGTGCGTCGGGGAAACTCTTCGTTTCCTACATGTGGATTCCCAGGACCCGCCCCACACGAGCCCCAGTGCTGGCCCCAGGGCTAACGCTGAGGGGCCACCTTGCCCCTTGGCGCTGGCGGCTTCGACTACTCCCTGGTCCAGCCTAACCAAGCCTGATTTGTGAGGTGCGACAAGTCAACGTTTCGCACCTCACAAAAATAGACCGTGCCAGCCCCGGCCATCCCGACCATCACCTCACAAAATTAGACCACGCCGCCAGCCTGATTCCCCAATGAATTTGTGAGGTGCGAATTTCGCACCTCACACAATTAGACCACTGCAAGCGTCAGCCGCAATTGGGGTGGCGTCAGCCTGGCAAATCCGGCCTCGCCGTGCCATGTCGCCCAAAGGGGGGCATGCCTAGGCTTTGCCTTCCGACTGACGGTTCCTGCCGCCGACCCCTCACATCATCTGCATGCCCACCTTTGGTGCATCATCACCGCCCGCGCGACCATTGGAGCTCGAGTTGGGGGAAGGCTCAAAACACTGTGAATATGCAGCAACCGGCTGCATTGCCAGCATCGTCGGCATTGTGTTTTGGGGCCCGCCTTCCCCAAGACATTCCTGCGCGCGCGCGCGCGCGCGCGGGCCGCACACACGCACGCACGCACGCACGCATGCACGCACGCAACCAACCAACCAACCAACCAACCAACCAACGAACGAACGAACGAACCAACCAACCAACCAACCAATCATCCATCCATCCATCCATGAATCCATCCATCCATGCCTTCCATCCATCCATGCCTTATCCATCCATCCCAGCCATCCATCCATCCATCCCTCCCTCCCTCTGTCCGTCCGTCCGTCCATCAAGCCCATCCATCCATCCATCCATCCCTCCCTCCCTCCATCCACCCATCCACCCACCAATCCACCCATCCATCCACCCACCATCCATCCAGCCATCCACCATCCATCGCGCATGGCTCGGTTTTTCCTAAAGGACCCTTCCCTGGTACGCGAGGCCGGTGCGCGGAGCGTAAAAATATATCACTATACAACGTGTACAACATGCACACAATGAGCAGAGCGCGAAAACAACGAACCGCGCTTAAATATACAAGTTATCCAAATATGTTCCAAGCAGGGGAGAGTGGGGAGGGTGGAGGGGGGTTGGCTTGAACGCAGCCAGCACCATTCAAGGAATCGAGTTTGTTTGTATCTACCCCCACAGGGGGTAGGGATGAGAAACTGCAGTCCTTGGAGGGTGCTGGCAAACGACAACAAGTCTTCAAGTGGAAACAGTAGGTCGGACATATAAAAATCAATCAACATTGGAAACACATGGGATAAGAACGTAAACATCAGCAAAGTCTAAACCCGTACATATCAACTGGCAAAGGAAATGACTGGGAAGACTGGTCGATCCTCAAGAAGAAACAAATGTTATGACCAAGACGGAAACCAGGCATGGAGGAAAGCAGGCAACAGAGCTGTGAGCAAAGCCACATGAGAAAACGACATGTGCTCAAGACAGCATTATGTGGTTGCCATGTGGCCATGGGTTTCCCTGGATAGGAACGTCTGTAATGGCGCTTCAAGCTGCAAGTCGATGGGTGTTCTCAGGCTAACCATTGTTTTTCTCTTTTTTTACCCACCTCCTACCTGTTTTGTTGGACTCCCCTTCCTCTCTGTCGTCCCAACGGGGGGAAGCGCGCTTTGTGAGAATGTACCACTTAGATTTGGTTCAACTAGGGAACCCATTTTGATTTTGATGAAAAGAAAACCGAAAGAACACCGAAAAGCCACCGACGGCTTAAGGAATCATTACAACTCATGACGGACCGCCGTTTGGGCCGTCCACGCTGCCCTGGCCTGTGATGACTCACTTTTCTCCCATAGGCCAAGGGCGGCTCCCACGAACACTTCTCTTACAAAACAACCCACTGGTTTCGAAGTGTGATCCTTCACAACTAAACGCGATGTTCCAAATGGTCCATGGTGCTGACCAGGAACCCCGGCCCCCTTTCCGAATTGTGCGAAAGGTGAAACAATGGATAAACCCACCAAGCCAGCCGCCTTTTTTCGGAATGTCTCTTTTTTGGGCTGGTCTTGAAGCAAATCAGGGTAAGCACCAAATAAAGCCCGCTTTGTTGGATGGTCCCAAAGGGGAACTACTGGAAAGCCCACAATGCAAATTGTCAGATCATGTTTGTGGAAAGTCACCATTTCTGTAACGCCTATGCGCCTGTGCGACATTCCCATGACTACTTTATACTGGGGATGCCCCTGCGGGAAGTAACCGTACCGAATTGTCCACCATGAACTGAACCCGCATGCTTTCTGTTGAAAGGGACCAACCCACCTCACATCCAGACGGTTGGAGCCAGAAATTTGGACCACTGGTGAAGCCGCAGTTCAAGTTCTCCTGGTCCGAGACCTGCACGGCACCGTCCACAGCGCAGAAGCCCGAGTGCTCCTCTCGGCTTTTCAGTGGAGCGTGCAAAACGGCGGATCCATCGTGTCTGGTGTGTTTGTCTCAGAGGGCAGTTCCTCGTAAAGGAAACCAGGGCATTCCAACTTATTGTCTGCCTATGAAACCAGCAAAGAAGCCTGAAGATGGTTCCTGTTGGCTTCGCTTCAAACCAAGGGCACCCAGCTTGCCTGTGTGCCCTTCAAGACCCTCTACGGGGGATCCTCCTTTTCCAAAATCGGGTCTCCTCCAGGCCCAGCGCCAGGTTTGCAGTGAGCCGGTCGTTGCCGATGCCCTCCCAGGGTTCTCTCTCTCTCTCTCTCTCTCTTTCTCTCTCCTTTCTCATATATATATATATATATATGTATATTATATATATATATATATGTACACCTGTGAATATGGGTTTCTCTCAAAATACGGGTACCAGAGAGTCGCTTCCCATCGGTTTCCTTGTAACACAACCCCAAAAGCGTAACCCAAAAAAGGAACATCCCCATAAAGAAACATGCCCCGAAAAGAGACATGACTCTAAGGGAAAGTCACTGGGCCAAACACATGAGACCCCTGCCTCCGCGATGGTGTCCTGGCGGTGCCGCCGGATGGAGCGCTCCTCCTGCTCCGGCGCATACAGGACACCTGGGCGGGGGGGGGGGGGTAAGAAAAAAGGGAAAACTAGAAACAAGGGAGAGGAGCATGGAGCAAAATGAAAAACAACAAAAAGGGAAGGAGAAACAACGAAGTAGCAAAAGGAATAAGGAACAAAAGGAGAAATCATGAGGAAACAACGCAGAAAAACGAAAAGCATGCTTGAAACACAAAGATTTAACGAAAAAGAGGAGGGAGCAAGGAGAAAATGATTGACCGGCTCCGGATATTTGAGGAAACCTCCCTTCCCTTCCTTCTCCAACAGGAGAAGGTGTTTCAAAAGCGAACTAAAGCGAAACTCTTTGCGGAGTCCAATTCCCTTTGAAACCCAAGTCACCCCTTCCCAAGAAAACTTCGAGGACGTCCGTCGATCCGGCCTTTGGCCACCTTGAAGTACAACGCGGAGCCCGGCACATCTGCCAAGACCACCTTCGTGTTGGGCGACCGCTCCTTCAGGACGGTCGAACCGATCCCAGGAAATCCGCTGGGCGTCTTCCCAAGGGGGTGGATTTTCTTCGTGGAAACTCGCCTTTTCTGTGATACCGAGGTTGGCCATCTCCGGTGCATTGGCAACCCCCCAACAAAGTGGCCTGATCAATTTCCCACAACCACGCCTTTGTTGTTTGACGAGTTGCTCCCCTCCACTGCCACCTTCCACCATAGGATATTCCTTTTCAGCGATGTAGTCTTAAAAGCAAACTGTTTGGGAAGTTGTTGCATATTTTGTCCAATTTAAATTTGTTGAAAGACAAGTGGCTGTTATTATCCAGAAATAATATCAACAACTGTAGGGTGTTCCGTGTTGAAACGACCGCCCCGGTCCTTCAAATAGCGGCCCACCCCCGCCAAAGTGCCCCCAGTGCCCGCGCTCATCACGAAGGCGTCCAGGCGCGGATTCTCTCCGTGGGCTTCGCATTGGCGCCACAGCTCCGGACCAGTGCCCTCGAAGGGACGAAGGGGCTACAACCAAATGCCATGGACGCACCTCCCAGAAACCCGAAAACGGCCTTCGGTCGCATGTCTTGGCAAGAGTTGTGAGGTTTCCATCTGCCTGATTCAGATTCTCGTTTCCTGAGAAATGTGACTTTGGTAACCGTCAATCTACACATTTAGAATTTGTCCGCGACCTGAACTCTCCAAGTAAAGGACCATAGCACGTTTTACACCCGCGCCCAGCTCGAATCAACCCGCCTCGTAGTGAGCCCGGAAGTTTGCGGGATTCTCGAACTGATCCGCGAAGAGCGCTGCGCCAGGACCCTTTTCTGCATTCAGCGCCTGCGCGTGCCGCCTCGTGCGCGCGAGGCGTTCTTGCTGGCAGGTGAGGTGCTTGGCAATAAACAGGCCCCGTCACCTTGAGCTGATTCAGTGGATGCCTGTGTAAAGCAGGTGGGCTTTGATGTATCTTGGGGATGGATGGCTTCGGGGAACGCAAAGGAAACCACCCAGTTTTGGGGGTCCCGTTTAGACAAACAACTGTCAGGGTTGTTCCCGTTTGACCGTGTCAGGCAGAAAATGGGTGCCTGGCAAAAGAAAACAGGAGCGCAAATCAATTGCTGGCCATCTTTTAAAGACTCCGAGAAATCGCATCCTTTGTAATAGGTACCTCCGCCGCATAGGGTTTGCAAAGGAAAGCCACTCATTTGTTAATATTCTCACATGTGAGACAAATGTGGGCCAGTCGTGTTTTTACATCCCAAAGGCAAACATGGGATCTGATTCCGAGCGCCCCTAGAAGAAAATGGTCCAACCAAGGGCCTCTAGGATAAGGCCTCAAAAGAAGCTAGTACTGTGGATGCACGAAACCTTGCACCAGTTGGTGGGAAGTGTTATCTTGGGTTATTTTCCCGCCATCTGGTGAAGGATTTCGTCCATCCACAGCAGGTGCCTGCAGCCCTCCGTGCCGTCCACACTCCCCGCCCCCGCCTCGCCACATTCACATAATGCTCGGGGCTGGAGATGCTCACTGGGCGCACCATCTGCACGGTGGCACCGAAACGCCGCAGCTGCTCGGCCTGGGGGTTCGTTTCAACCCCCACATCTGGGTGTCTGAAAATAGAGGTACCCGAAAAAGGGCTTAGTTTCCTCCTGGCTTACAAAAAGAGTACCCTCAAAAGAAGACACACCCATGTCTCGTCTCACAAAACCTCGCCGCACTTCAAATGGCCTTTCCAAAACAAAAGCGGGATCTCCTTCGAAAGGATCCCTTTCGAAGGAGTTTTGTGGGGAACTCGACTCCTCGCCAATTGAAAATGGAAATGTTGGTCTCCCATGTACAACCCAAAAACAAAAGTCAATTGAATGCAGCATCTCCTGCCCCCACTTCAAATGGAGCCATCCAGAAAAATTGGTTGCCCTCCCACGCTTTCCCACGTTTTTTCAATCGGAAACTCCACGTCCAGCGCCTTCTCCTGTTCTTGGTGGTTTCTCAGAATGGAAGTGTGTAAAATTACGAGAACCTTTCAACATGGGTGGCATGCCAAAAGGAAAAAAACGACTCCTGGCCTTGGTAGCTTGGTTTCCGTTGGTTTTCCTTTGGCAATCGAAATTGGGTCCCCGCCATCGACTCCCAGCCACCAAAGAAAAAATGGCACTCCTTGCAACAACTTCCTTGCAAGGTCCAAAGAGCCCACACCCAGCGAGCTCTCTTCTTTCCATTAGACACTCCACTGATCTCTTCTGTGCCTCAAGCATCGAAATCGAGAATCGACTCCTGGCCTCTTAAAAAAGGCCAAGGGTTCAAGCAAATCACTGAAAAATAAGACTCCCAGCACCTTCTCAAGGGTACCTCAGCAAAAAGCTCGACTCCCAGCACCTTGTCCTAGGCTTGGTGGCTTCTCCCATGTCCCTCCTACATGGACCCTAGACAAACAGGAGTTCGCCCACCGCACCCAGGGTTTCTCGGAACTCGAGGGCCTTCTCCTTGGCTTGGTCGTCCGGCATCACCACGTGCACCTTGAAGCCCAGCGCCGCCGCGGCCAGGCTCAGCGAGATCCCCGTGCTGCCCGAAGTGCCCTTGGGCGGGGAGGGGGGGGGATTTTGGCAATCTGAGAAACCGGCTCGATTTCTAATGAATGGCAATGGTTTCCTTTGGGTCTCCCTTGAAATACCAACCAAGAAACAAAAAGGGGGCCCTGCCCGGCATGAGAAACTGTCTTTGGGGGATCGTGGTGCCTCTCTCTACCCAAACGGCGCATTTCGGGAACCCGCCTCCACCACCGTGGCGCCGGGGTTTAAAGCGCCACCGGCCACCGCCTCCTCCAGGATCTGCCGCGCCACGCCTGAGCAGACAAGGCATACCGAAGGAAAAAAAAAAGGAAAAAAAAAAGTTGTTTTAGTTCAATTATATATTTATTTCTTTATTTATTCAAAAAGCTTTTTTAAAAAATGACCCATCCAGGGTTCATGGCTGGATGATAAACAGGGCGGCTGGAAGATCACAGAAAACCAGGGGTGGGTTTCTCTCGAAAGGGAGCATTCCGGGTCTGGGTGCTTGCTTTGCGAGAAAGTCAGCTTCTTAAAGGTCAAGATGATTCTTCTATCCCGTTTGCATGTTCCAAAAAGCACGGAACGGCTCTTGTTTGGATGGGTGGCTAAAAGTAGACCAAACGGAAACTCACCGGTCCGGTCCCTCTTTTGGCACATGCCAAGTTTCCCAGTGCAAGAACCTGAGGAAGTGTCGAATACCACGGGACTCGGCGCTCGGGCGTTCAGGCTTGGGGCTCCCTTCAGCCGTTGCTGGGTTCAAACCTCACCCAATGAAGGCTAAAGATCCGTTCGAGCCCAAGGCTCTCAAGTGAGGGTACCAATTTGGAACAACCAACCCCGCACTCAACCCCCAAACAAGGCGCTACTTCAAAAATACAGGACACACAGACATGCACACACAGCAATCAACTAAACCGCACCCCCGAAAGAAAGGAACCAAACACCCATTCGCCGAGGCGCGATCCTTTTGGCAGCCCCCTGGGCTCAGAAACTCAGCCTTCAGGGTTGAGCGATTCAACCCCCAAACCGTGGCCTTGACAACCATTGTTTGGAAAACACCTCCCTTTGGATTCCCTAACAGAACGGGCTGGGTTGTTTGCTTTGCAGATAAACATGGAACCCCAAAACGCACCATTTGCAGGAGCAGAATCTCCGTTTGGGAGTGTTAATCCTGGGTCCATCCCTCTAAATTGTGTTTTTGTGTCCCCCTTAAAATAATTTTGAGAACCCCTCAAATGTTCGCTTCAAGGGGCCCAGTCAGCGTCAAAGTTTGCCACCCAGTCGCCTTCCCCAGGATCTTGCGCCCGGTGGACTGCGACAAGCACCGCAGCTCCACCAGCGGCGTCTCCCCCACTAGGCCCAGGAAGCCAGAGCGCGCCTGGGGGCGGAACCGAAAATCCACCCACGGCTTGGCGCCCCATCTGAGCTCCACAAGAACACCAGCTACCGACAAAGGGGTCCCGGAACTTTGGTGTCCCCCCCCCAAAAAAGAAATGAGCGTAGGTCGCTCTTGAAGCCCAACATGAGGCTTTTTTGGAGGGGTTGCCTCTAAATGGGAGATGAAAGGCCCCAACAAATGGTTCCCTTTGGTATCACTTTAAACCAATGTCAGAAAGGGTGACCTCAAATCAAGACACACCAAGAAAACAGGTTTAACCTTTTTGGCTAGGTCAGGAATCCTTGCCCTTTAAACATCACCCTACCAAAGGAAGACGCAATCAAACTCAAACAAAGCCGATGCTTGAATCACCCAAGGGACATATAAGCCGCCCCCTCCCCTGTGGGTGTAAAGGGAAACCTGTAGAATATTAAAAAAGAATAATAATAATAATAATAATCATCATAATAATAATAATGAACATTGAGAAATCCAATCATTTTGGCATTTTGGGCAAACCCCCCACCTGCTGGGGAGCCTTGTCCATCTCCCCCTTGCCTTCCATCGCCACCGCCGCCTGCGTGGCCCGCGACTCCAGGAATGGCTCAGCCTCCACACGGCCGCGATCGCTGGCCTCCAGATGCGCGCGGAGCTTCTGGAGGATCCCATGCGTGCGACGCCAAGGGCAATCCTCCCAGGGCAAAGGTGAACAGCGGGAAACGTCACAGCCCCCAGAAAGTGACAAAAAAATAAAAAGGTTGCGGCTGCAAACTGGGGATCATCTGCTAAATCCAGTTGTATAGATGTGTAAACAAGCCACAAACAAGCACTTTCTTTGCGGCTTCCTTTGAAAAGGAAAGGGCACCACCACAGGTCCTCCACGTCCCTGCCATCCAAAACTTCCGGCGGCAGCGACCCGGTGCGCTTCGTGTCTGCCAAGTGCAGTTGGGCCTCCTCGGGGGAAACGCTTCCATACCAAAGCTGATTGAACCATTAAGGATCTCAGTTTGAAGGGCTCAGTGGTTGCAACCACTACTTCACTCAAGGCATTTTCCATCACCCCATGGCCACCAACCCACAGAGACTGGTCACCAATGGATCGATCCTCGGCAGTCAACAGCACCAAGTTCGCCAGGTCCACCGGCTTGGACCGGTCCCAGCGCACCATGGCCTCGGTGCTCAAACGCAAAGTGCCGGGACCCCAAAAACCACGAGGCCAGATTTGGAGGAAAAACAAAGCGGGGTGCTCATGAGATAAACTGAAGGAAACCAACAACAAAATGTGCTCTACAATGCGAATCTGCTTTCGGACCCGTGTCAATTGTGAAAGGCAAAGCAAGATCGGAGGTCAACTTCGGATTCCTCAAAAGGAGGTCACAACTCGGAGAATAAGCTCATTTCAGGGGATTCTTCGTGCGCATGTGTGCTTCAGAAAAGGGATGTCAGAAAAAGGGCAGCATGGATGTTGTCGTGTTTCCTGGTGGAGTCCCACTCACCAGAGGCCGGCGGAACAAACAAACCGCAACAATAAACTTGCCCCCAGCAAACAAACCACAAAACAATTTATGCCCGAAATCAAAGAACAAGAGATCAGACACGAAACACAGCCAGCAAAGTGAGACAAACATGTCTTGAAAGAAACATATAAACCTATAAACATATAAACATATAAACATATAAGCATGTCTTGAAAGAGAAATATGTCTTTTAAAAAAGAAGAAAAACAAGAAGAAAAAACCAACAAGTCAGAGGCGCCATGTCCGAATGCTTGGCACCCATCTGCCCGCTCAAGGCGCTCCTCGCACGCCAGAGATAGTCCGCCACGCAGCCCACGGCGTGGAGATCCGGCAGCGTATCTCGGGGATGGTCAAAATGTGCTTCGAGCCAATCAAAAATGTTGCTGTTTGGGCATAAGTCTGCTTTAAACCAACAAAAGTTGTTCTTGCTTGGGGGGTCATGGTCATAATTGCTCCAGGTTGCTCCAGAGAACTTGCAAGAGGGACCAAGCCCAAACGCGAGGGGCCGTTGGCTTTGTCGACCACCCCGCTGAAATGGTTCTTAGAACCTTCTTGGTTCCGATCTTAACCTTTCCGGCGGGTAGGGAGTTCTAGGGGTAACTTCCCCCACTGGATGCTCCCTTCCAAACCATTCAAAACTCAAGGGGAAACGGCTGCTGTTGCAAAAGAACAATTGAACAGAATGGAGGATCAACCCCAAGAAGAGAGGGGCGATTCATGCGCTTTCAACAGTCTCCTTCTCTAGAGGACTTGTTTTAACATGCTTAACCAGCAAAAATGGCCATGCAAACTTGAAGGGGAGTACTGCAATTTGCTCTAGGTGACTTGTTTAACCATGTTTAAACCTCTATAGTCTATTGTGTAAAGTGTAAAAAGTATCCTCTTGCTTAAGGCACCGAATCGGGTCTGGCCACTTGAGGTCTGCAAATATATAAAAAAAAAAAAAAAGAGAACTACCATGGAAAATAATTACTAACAAAAAGTGAGACCAAGGTCTGTTTTCGCTTTCATGAAAGATGTCCCAACAAAATGGTGTTTCCATGACAAATACCAAGAGAACCACTCCAGGAGACAAAGGCCTGGACATGTTCCTTTCCCGGCCTCCCGATTCGGAGCGCTCCAGGCTGTTGCGGAGCTTCTTCCAGAAGTTCATGCCGCATGGGTCCGCCTGAGAGAAAACGGGCATGGGCTCAGGGTCCCACATATATATATATATATATATATAGATATCCTCCTTCATCACCTCACAAGGGCAATCACTCAACAAGGCCCCAAAAAAGTGAGGGTTCAAACCAACAAACTGGAAATATAGGGAACCCTGCTCAGGTGATAAGTGAGGCATGAGGGTTGAGATGGGAGTTGAAAACGGACAGAAAGCTCGAAGGCTTGACCTGGCCAGGTAATAACTCCAGGAATTTCTTCCAGCCCTTCTCAACGCAGCCCACCGTACCGGCCCGGAGTCCAGAGTTCCGGGTGGAACAAAAGCCACTTTCGGGGGGGATTGCGAACCATAGTCCATGTATGTTTTCTTTGGTATTCGCATGAGCGTGTGCGTAGGAAGTTGGTGGGGGGAGGGGGGGGGGGGGGTTGAGGTGGGGTTTAGCCAGGGATGTGACTAAGTGATTCGCTGGTCAGAAGAATGAGGAAATGACCCCAACAAGTTCCCTAGGATTATTCCCAAAACCCTGGATTGGGATGACTCATTTGGGGGAGGATGGTTTGGGGTTTATGATTTAAGATATTATTAATTTATTTTTGCTGGGGGGGGGGAGGTTTAGGGAAGGTCGGTTTTGGGGTTCATTGGGGTTGCATGAGGGTCTGTTCAGGCAACCCTTTGCATAGGCCCTGGGTGGATGTTGAGCCAATGCGTGTTGTCTTTCCCGGTTGCTCTAGGGTTGTTGTTGGGGTGTTTTGCGGTTGCTTTGATGGTGTCTCTCAAAAGGATATGCCCGGTTTAATTCTGGCTACCCATCACCCCCGAAAAAGTGGATGGTGACAAGGACCCAACAAAATGCTCTAGCCCTCCATGGCCTAGGGAATCTAAAGGAAACAATCTACATGTGCTTCAGAAACCGAAAGGAAATTGTACCAACCAAAACAGATGAAAAGGAGAAGAAACCATGAGATTTCAGACATGGAAATGAACTCTACTGCTTGAAACACACCCCAGAATGGTTGGTGGGCATAAACCTCCATGTAAATGACGTCCAGGGTCCCGCATTAACATTCACACCCAAGGAAAGACAACCTCTGATCCACGTGGCTCGCAAAGGGAACCAAACCCAGTGCTTCCAGTTGCCTCTATAGTAGCCAAACAGTTTCGTAGCTCCAGGAATCACAGAATGACCCAACCAATTTTCTAACACAAGTAAAGTATGGCTTATGAATAAGAATGGGCCAGCAACAAATGGGAGCACGGACGAGAGCCCACGTGGCAAGTCCATTGGCCACTTTTCCCCAAGCGCTCATGGAAGATTGGCAAGGGCGGGGTTTCGCGCCTGGTGGGCCACTTGAGTCCCCGTGAGCCGCAGCATCACGGCCGCCGCAGCAGTAGCGCCCAGCTGCAAGCGGTGCGAAAGGGCCGAGGTGCAGCTCGGCTTGGCCCACAGGGCGGGCTCCTAGCAGGGCACCGGAAACGGGTCTGTCTCAACGCGGAGAACCCACTGTTAAAACAGCTCCAAGTGGGTACCTCAGAAAAAGATGCAACCATCTGCGTACTCCCGTAAACTGGTGCGTTTCCTTCTGGGCTTGTTTGGGTTCAGAAAGAATAAACGCAAGACGCCTAAACACCGAAGTTGTTGAATCGCCGAACCTGCGAGTGGACCACTTCGATGTCCTTGAAGGCCTCTGGATCCTGACATGGGAGTTTGGGGTTTAACAAAACCTAGGTGTCCACCAACAAAAAAGTTTACAGCAATTCCAAAGCCTGAAATTAGGGATCCTCAAATAAAGGACCACATCATCATGAGCTTGTTTTACCCCCGAATCGATGAGCTCGCCATAAACTAGGCAAGCCAATCCAACGGTTTGTTAAAAAGTAGATGGCACAACTCACCCACTTTGGTCTAGTCATCCCCTTGGGTTACCCACAACGAAATTGCTCCCTCTGCTTTCGCGCCGCGACCTCCCACCCCATCCCCAGCCTCCTGTGCCAGCCTGCCCCGAAGCTCAGCGCACGCCGGCCACGCCCAGACCTCTCCCAGCGGAGCCACCGCCACACGCGAGGGGTCCGCCGGGCACGGCGCCGCGGTCGTGCAAACGGACACCACCCGCACATGCCTCAGCACCCGACGCGGAGCGAAAAAGACGGAGCCCAGCAAGAAAGGTGTGTGTGGTTTAAAAGACCGAACGCATATCCCGTGTTCCTGCGAGCGGCCGTGCCAGCGCGTACCTCATGATGAGTTCCTTACTGCGAAAGCCGCCCACGCAGTCCAGGATCCTTGCAAGAAGCGAAGACTTGTCGCTTAGGGTGAAATGAAGGAGGGCCAGGGTTTTTAGGCTGGCAATGTTAGTGCTACTTGCCCTCAATTTCATTGTGCACACCAATGTTTGCCTTCCAAAAGAGACTTGTGTACATTCCTGAGTCGGGCAGGTAGTTCAGTCCGCCCTTGGTGGTTTGAAGGGATTTGAAGGTTCTCATTTTGAGGGTTCCACCCATCTTGAATAATCTTTTTTTGGCTGGTTTCTTCGTGGTCCTGCTTGTTGGATGCATATGTCCAAACTTGTACCACTAAAATGGTGTTCCCAAACGGTAAAGTCCAGCAACTCAGGGAGCTTAGTCATGGGAGGGAACCAAGACGTGAATCGCTCTCCTTCCAAAACACGGGGAGGAGGGGGGGAATTCTGCGTTACATCCAGCCATGGATCATCGTCTCGCAGTCTCCGTCTCTCGGCGCCAGGCACTCGTCCTCCCGACCCTCGGTGAGATGCGAAGGCACCGCCTCGATGTCCAGGTGTGGGAGGACTGCAAGCATCACCTCCTCGTGTGCTTCTGCCCCACTTGGGAACCCAATTCTCCTATGGCGACTTGGGGAGTTTGTAGGTCAACAAAGTCCTCGTGTTGTTTCCCGCATGGATGGTTGCGCGTCATCTCTAAGAATAGATGCCATGCGCGTGAAAAAGCTAGGAAAAAGCTATAAAAAGCTAGAAAAAGCTAGAAAATGCGCTGGGGAATAGCCAGAGGCAGAAAACGCTGGCCCTGTGCGTAAATTCGGCTCTTCGGCACGTGCGCAAACTACCTCGGTCGCGACACCTGACGGGTGCGGACCGGGTGTGGAGCGGGTGCACAGAGAGGGCGAAGCGTTCCCGGAGACAGGCTCATTGGGACACGCGCACTTTTCGCGACAGCTAGTTTGCGTAGCAGGCGCGGCACTTTCGCACGGTCACGCAGATCTCGTGGCAGCGCATAGATATGCAGCTAGAGATAGATAGATAGATAGATAGATAGATAGATAGATA